CGATCTCGGCTCACCGCAACCTCCGCCTCCTAGGTTCAGGCAATTCTCCTACCTAAGCCTCCTGAGTTGCTGGGATTACAGGCATGCGCCACCATGCCCAGCTAATTTTCTGTATTTTTAGTAGGGGTGGGGTTTCACCATGTTGACCAGGATGGTCTCAATCTCTTGACCTCGTGATCCACCCGCCTCGGCCTCCCAAAGTGCTGGGATTACAGGCTTGAGCCACCGAGCCCAGCTTCATTAAGATATTTTAAATGGGAAAAAATTTGCTCAGATCAATTTTAAAAGCTCTTTAAGAAAATAGAGGAAGAAAATAAAATGTTAACACTTCAACATAAAAAGAAATTTTTATAGACAAGAATGGGAGACTAACAGAGAGCTTTAAGCAAGGTTCAAGAGGTAGAAGAGGTGTGCTTGCTCACTCTCTCCCTCCCCACTCCCTTGCTTTCCCTCCCTCCCTCTCCCTCCCCTTCACTCTCTTGCCTCCTCTTCTTTCCGTCTCTTCCTGTCTCCTCCTCTCCCTTTGCCCCTCTGCTTCTTCCTCTCACCTTCTCTCTCCCTCTCTTCTTCCTCTCTCCCTCACAAAAAATAAAACAAAACAAAACCAAAAGGTAGAAAAGCGCTCTTTGAATTATTATTATTATTATTATTATTATTATTATTTTACATCATGGATATAAGTTTCACCAGCAAAAGCAAATTTAAAATTCTCACCATGTTTTGGATTCCTTTTCAAACTTGGCTGTGGCTGGGGAGGTGGTGGAGGTGGAGGTGGTGGTGGTGGAGAGTCTCTGTCATGACTTATCACTCTATCCACTGATCCGTATATTGCCAGTGTCAGGCAGTTGTACCAGCCTCTTAGCACCAGACCATCAGTATTCACCTGATTTTTAGGGAGGGAAAGAAATCCTTCAAAGTCATGTTTTAAAACACTAGAAGTTAACTGATATCAAATTAGATTGTGGTTCAACTAAAGTCTCTAAAAGTACGCTGAAAATGTAAAGTCAACACAAAATTTATCCAGGCATAGCTTTTACATTGGCTCTCCAGAGTTACCATAACTATACCTGTACCTGTCCTAAGATTTCATCTCCCAGTTCTATACTTTATGTCAATCTTGTTCAAAAAGTATAATCAGACTCCCATCCAAGAGAAAAGAAATGAGAATAAAATTAAGTAGAGTTATTGCTAATTAATAAATTAAACCCCAATAGGTACAGGGGTGGTAGAAGGCACCAAAAGCACAAATGATGCTCAGTTTCAAGAATGAGAAAATCCATAAAACCATAAAACCACATAGCATTCTTCTCACATGCCAAATTCACACATACAGGTATATTTTATGTGCCCACATTGTACTTTAAAAAGTGAATGGCCAGGCACAGTGGCTCACACCTGTAATCTCAGCACTTTGGGAGGCTGAGGTGGGTGGATCACAAGGTCAGGAGTTCAAGACCAGCATGGCCAAGATGGTAAAACCCCACTTCTACTAAAAATACAAAAATTAGCTGGGCATGGTGATGGGCGCCTGTAATCCCAGCTACTCAGGAGGCTAAGGCAGAGAATTGCTCGAACCCAGGAGGCAGAGGCTTGCAGTGAACCAAGATCGTGCCATTGCACTCCAGCCTGGGCAACAGAGCAAGACTCTGCCTCAAAA